GAGAGCTCTAATATTGCCTCACGATAGATAGAGAGAAGAGTGAACTTTGGAATTTGAGATCTCTCAAAGAGTGAAATTTGGAATTTCAGATCTCTGACATTGCCTCGCGATAGATAGAGAGAAGAGTGAAATTTGGAATTTCAGATCTCTGACATTGCCTCGCGATAGATAGAGAGAAGAGTGAAATTTGGAATTTCAGATCTCTGACATTGCCTCGCGATAGATAGAGAGAAGAGTGAAATTTGGAATTTCAGATCTCTGACATTGCCTCGCGATAGATAGAGAGAAGAGTGAAATTTGGAATTTGAAATCTCTCACGTTATTCCGCGATCGATAGAGAAACAGAGTAAAATTTAGAATTTCTGAACTTTGGAATTTGAGATCTCTCAAAGAGTGAAATTTGGAATTTCAGATCTCTGACATTGCCACGCGATAGATAGAGAGAAGAGTGAAATTTGGAATTTCAGATCTCTAATATTGCCTCGCGATTGTTATGGAGAGAAAGAGTGAAATTTGGAATTTGAGAGCTCTAATATTGCCTCACGATAGATAGAGAGAAGAGTGAACTTTGGAATTTGAGATCTCTCAAAGAGTGAAATTTGGAATTTCAGATCTCTGACATTGCCTCGCGATAGATAGAGAGAAGAGTGAAATTTGGAATTTCAGATCTCTGACATTGCCTCGCGATAGATAGAGAGAAGAGTGAAATTTGGAATTTGAAATCTCTCACGTTATTCCGCGATCGATAGAGAAACAGAGTAAAATTTAGAATTTCAGATCTCTCAAAGAGTGAAATTTGGAATTTCAGATCTCTCAAAGAGTGAAATTTGGAATTTCAGATCTCTCAAAGAGTGAAATTTGGAATTTCAGATCTAGAGAAGAGTGAAATTTGGAATTTCAGATCTCTCAAAGAGTGAAATTTGGAATCTGAGATCACTCAAAGAGTGAAATTTCTAATCCAAATTTTGTCTACTCTCGTTTCAAAGTGTTTTCCAAAGCGAGTTCTTCATTTTCCTTCGACAGCAGACTCTTCGGTATCCTTAATTTCCTCGACGGGGGAAGAATGGAAATTTTCTTAATGTCACTGTGAAAAATGGGTCTCTCTCGTTCACAACACGCGAGGAGAGAGCAGAGGCTTGAACGGGGCAAACAGTCGGAGCCACTCCAAAGCCACAGCATCAAGATCAATAATCCCCAAAAGATTCCGCGTCTTCACTGACCTACCCTTTTTCCTCCAGCGATCCAAGCAACCCCTCAATGTGAACGAAAACAAATTCACAAATTCACAAATTCTCCCCGGTCTGAAAGAAGGGTTTCAAACTACCCTCGTGCAAATAAATCAATTTTCGCCCAACGTAGAATTCATATTTTCCTCTTCACCCCGAAATTCAAAATGATTCTCTTCTTTCTCAAAGAAATTAGCCTCTCTTTCTGGGTACTTTGTTTTTTTATCAGACACTCGGATAAAGCAGTGCTAGTTTACCACCGAGAAGGCACTTGACGGATCAGGGAAACAATTCTCCAAGTTAAACCGTGTCTCACGAGCGTTCTACATAGGTCGTCGGTTAAAAAGTTATCTCGATACTTTGCTGGGACGAGTTCCCGCGCGTAATGGCCGCGGAAAACAGGAGCGGTGAAAATCCTGTTTGCTTGACAATTACTTCTTCTTTTGCCTCCTGTGTGTGTGTGTGTGTGTGAGAGAGAGGGCGAATCGAGTCTTGACTTTCCAACTGTACTTTGTCACTTCGCCTCGTCCTGTCCCTTTCCTCCCTTCTTCTCTCGATTCCCTTCGTCCACGCGTGCATTCTGCCTGTCTCGCCTAAAAGCTTCAGCTTTTTAAACTGTGATTTGTTTCTCTGAACGTTTTAAAAATTCCTCGTTGCTACTCTGCGGAAGAAGTTCGAGGGCAGATCAGACGTTGCTGTGTAAATGAATCATTTCTGTTTCCTAAGTTCTGGTAGCTTGTGACACTCTTGGACCGTCACGAGTGAAACTCAAATTTAGATCATTTTCTTTTAGTCACTTGATCGACTCGAAACGACGTTCTAGCGAAAGTTTGAATCTGGGGAACTATAGACTTATTAAGTTACCCATGAATGTCGCCTAATCTCATTTGCACATTTTTTTGGTTCCCATTTAGTTTTTCCACTGTATTCCTCAAACGTGACTTTATTCCACTTTTGTCGCCGCGAGAGCAGCGCAAACGAAGGAGGTGCAATTTAAAGTCGTCGGTTTTTCTTAAAGAGGGTGGAATTTCTTTCTCCTTTTTTTTTTTCCGTTTCTTCGCTGGTTAACTCGTTAATTTCTCGCGAGAAACCGGCGCCTTCCTGTTGCTTCGTTTTGCCTCTGGCCGAGTTATCGCCTCGAGGCAACTTTTCTTGGCACGTTCGCGGTTTTGGCTCGGTCGGCACGGTTGATTCTACGACAACTCTTGACCCAAATCCGCCACGCACTTTTCCCCCAGTTTTTTCCCCTCGAACGACGCCGAAACGTCTCGCTGCTAGCTGCGAACGCCAGTCCAATTAAGCTCCGGCATCTTTTTCCCTCGTTATGGTTATTAAAAATTACGTCTCGTCGTTTCTTTTTTTACGCGGCAAGTCTTGGAGGAAATTCCGAGTTTGCGAGAGGAAGCTGCGTGAAATTTGGAAGCGAGGATGGTTATTTAGGTGCACTTTAACCTCTTGACTTGAGATGTTTTTTATTGATTATGCGTGCAAGCTTCTAGCACTGTATCAGCTGAGAAGAGAAATAAGATTAATTAATCTTATAAATTAAGAGGAAAATTAGAATTAAAGTTGCAAAGTTTGAACAGAAAGCAGAGGGTTGAAATTGGCCAATGTTTTGTATTCGTCATTTATATTTACATCGCCTAATTGAAACTCTGTTAAAACTCAAGATTGTAGATGACAAGCTTTGAAAATTTAATTTTAATTAAATTTAATTTCAAAATTGTCAATTTGATTTTTACCGAATTTTTCTTGCAACTATTTCCAACTTTTTCCTGCTTAATTCCGTGTCTTAATGGGCTCGGAGTGTTTCTAAATGAGAAACATCAAAGGGAAAAGTGATGGAATAAAATTTCAACGAATCCTCGATGAAATAGTTGAATCGAAAGATTCAATCTCTGAACGAGAAATGAGATCTCTAACTCTCGGGTGTTTAGACAAAGTCCTACCCCCTTTGAGCGTGGAATCGAACGCTGGAGCTTTTGTGGAAGGTAGAGAAAAGAGGGAGGGAGAGAAATGGCGACACGTGGAACAGAGTTAGGCTGGAAAACGTGTAATTAAGTGTTGAGGCAATAATGAAACGCATCATCCCCCTTTTTCGTCGAAGAAATAACAGGCCTTTCAGGGACCACGGGGATTTTGGTCCCTCGAGGAGGCTGCGATTTCTAACGAGCTTTCTCACGATGCACGCCGCCTCGTCAATTAACCAACAAATCTACCCTCTCGCTAATTATTATTTCGTTACTCTCGTCGAGTGTTAATGTGTAAATGGAATCTTTGCCGGAGAAGATGGAAAGAAAGGCAAATTATTGATTTGACGATTTCCGTAGACCTCGATTTTAATTTTTCTTGCTTCGCTACTTTCGAAGTCTTGAATCATAAATGATAGGGGACAAAAATGGAGAATGCGAACGTTGGTGAATAAAAAGAAAAAAAAAAATAGAATATGCAAGTATTGGCGAAAGAAGAAATAGAGTATGCAAACTTTGGTGAATAAGAAAACTTAGAAAATAAAAATATCGATGAATAAGGTAACTTGGAAAATGCAAACCTTACAGAATAAAGAAAATAGGTAAAATGCGATCATCGGCGAATAAAAAGACTAGAAAGGCTCTAATTAGGTGACACAAATTCCCCCGGAACCCGTGAAATTCCTCTGCAGAAATGAAACGGCGCAGAAATCCGTCCCATTTTTTCCCTTCCACGAAACGATCATTCGGTCGGTAAGTAACGCGTTAGAAATCGCGTTAATAACGTCCGATTGTACGAGGGTGACCGTCGCCATTCCAACGACGTCCAATTAACAATCAACGAGGCTATTCGTTAACCGACTTAACGTTGACAGATTCGACGCGGTAATGTAACAATCGCGAGTAATCATTTTCGGTTGTCCGCTATTTCCCACGTATGCGGATCATTTCGACGACGGTATCGATTCCCCGTCATCTGACGTTCCCCCTATCTGCCCGTGAATTTCTCATCGCGTGCAATCGATGCCTCCTTTCGCGATCCTCCGTGCAATTATGCACGCTCCGACGATTCATTCTCGAACGTCACACTGCTTCCAGATTTCCCCGTATCTCCGTACGAAAATAAACGATTCTCCGGAATTTCCAATCCTGTCGCTTGTTTATTCAACGCCTCTCAACCCTTGGACCGCTCGAGAGCGAGCAGTTTTTGGTTCATTCCGAGCAATTAAAAAATACTCGGAGAAGAAGTTTGTAGAAAGCATCGACACTTGAAAGAATTCCGAATAATCTGTCGGAGTTTCTCGGAGAGACGTTCGAAAGCGATCGTTTACGGTGAATTTCGCGTAAAATGTATGCAGGACTGCAACATTGTCCAAAAAGGGACCCGAGTCGAGGTCGCTGAGGTGTCCAGGCGCCATGCGAGCTGATTTATCGATGAATATATTAATGGGCCAGCTCTTGCCGTGCGTTCGATCATGAATATCCAATGAAGCAGCTTGATAATTACTGTGATTAATGCTCGCGCGGGGATTAATCGGTTATCTGAGGCTTATTCTCGAAAATCGAGCAACTGGTCACGCGCGACCCTTTACTTATCTCAATTTCCCCCCCGATTCTCCTCTTAAAATATCATTCCGCCTTATTTTCCACGGTTTCTTAGAACGTGCCTTGCGTCACGCAGCAAGTACTTACCTATCTGGTTTACTGTGGAGGACAAAAATCTCCGACGACGGAGAGAATCGTTCCTTCAGTCGATCGATGACCAATTAACCTGGTTGTTTTTTTTTTGCTTTCTTCTTTACAGAAAGCCTCTTTCGCGTGGTCTGAAGGAGTCGAGGAAGGCGGCGGAGGTGGAGGTGGAGGTGGTGGAGGAGGCGGTGGCGGAGGTACGGCTGGCACCGGAACCGGAAGCACGGGCCCAACCGCCACCGGAGGCGGTGGATTGGCCCATTGGGTCAGCGTGATGGCGGAGCACATCCACAATCCACACTCGGCTACTGGGGTGGGCGGTGTTCATCATCAGCAGCAGTCGCCACCTCAGCCACCTTATCCGTGGAACAACGGCCTATCCAGCGAGGTGAGTAGAGACTTACGTGTGAATTTTTTGGTGATTAGATTTTGAGGGGGTGAATTTGGGTCAGTTGGAGCAGTCTAAGTTTGTGCTTGGTTCCTAATCTGTGGGTGATTCTGGGTTTTGATTTTAGTCTCAGTCTGATGAGTGTCGAACTTAATTTGAGTCTAAGTTTGAGCCCGAGTCTCGATCCTGATTTCAGTCCAATTTTGTGTCTGAATCTCAATCTTAATTTGAGTCTAAGTTGGGGCCTAAGTCTCAATCTTAATTTGAGTCTAAGTTTAAGCCTGAGTGTCACTCTTAATTTGAGTGTAAGTTTAAACCTGAGTGTCACTCTTAATTTGAGTGTAAGTTTAAACCTGAGTGTCACTCTTAATTTGAGTCTAAGTTTAAGTCTGAGTCTCAATCTTAATTTGAGTCTAAGTTTAAGCCTGAGTGTCACTCTTAATTTGAGTCTAAGTTTAAGTCTGAGTCCAATCTTATTCTGAATCTAAGTCTGACTTTGATTTAGATTCTGACTCTGACTCAGAGGCTTAATCTGAGCCTAAGTCTGATCCCGAATGTGAGTCCAACTTTAACTTTAATTTAGACTCCGATTCCGAGCTCGATCACGATCCCAATTCAGAGTCTGAGATCGAATCTGAGTCTCAATCTGAACCTAAGTGCCTAATTCAGAATTTGAGTGCAACTTTGAGCGTGATTTCCATGTTCGTAAAAGATTTTTAATTCGATAAATCTCCTCCATCGGCTATGAACGAATTAACAGTCTGGCAGACTAGGTTGCGGGTGAAGTTTCTCCCATTAGCCGGCGAAATAATTCGAGGATTAATTTTATACGGGACGTATTACGAGTATTACGAGGCAGGGACCAGTTAATTGGCGACAAAGAGGCCGCCGTTTAAGCCGCTGCGCGTCGCGAAAGTTTTACGAGGAGAACCGCGCGCAGCTCGTTTCTTCCGTTGGCTACTTTTATATTCGATAAGCGTCGTAGAATCATTTCCAGCCGGATGTCTCCGTACCGAACCAACTCTCGAACATCCAGACACTTTAAAGTAACAATTCACGCTTACCTTTATATACGATATCTTCGACGAGTAATATACTCTTTCACCAGATACCTCCAGAATAATTCTACCCTCGACAAAATTGATTCTAAACAAATTTTCAAAAAAATACCTATCTCTTTAAAAACATTTATCTCCATCCTTCTAAACTTCTCGAAGCATTCGAACAATCAGCTCCAAGTCACGAGACACTTCATCCTCGGGATCTTCAAAGGGTTAAACATTTCCGCATCAACTTTCCACTAATCCATTCACGCGAGCCACGCGCAAACGGTCTCGGAAGGTCGTTAAAAATCCCCGAAAAAAAAAAAAGAAGAATCAAACGGTTCTCCAACGGACGAAAGACACGTGAAGAGAAGAAAAAAAAAAGGTTGCACAGAGGAAGAAACGCGTCCTGCATTAAAATCGCTCGGAGAACGCCGTTAGTCGCGCGACGAAGACTACGGAAATACGCGAGAGAAGAGAAAAAAAAAAAGGATCGTCCTTTTTTTTTCAACGGGTTACCCCTGTTTTAATTTCGATCTACCTCTGTCTCTCGTCTAGAGGCAGGGACTCCTGCATAATTTCGAACTAGGCTGGATTAGAAAGCGGCGAAGACGAGAGGAAAAAAGAAGGAGCGGAGGGGAGACTGGAAAGGGTTGAAGATCGCTTTGCATACTCTTCGCTCCGCCTCGAGGTGGTGGAAAGAGGAGAAGAAGAGGGAAAAAAAAACAAACAGACGGAAGCGCGAAAAAAATGTTCACGAGACAACGAGAGATGGGTGAGAGGGGGTTCATTTGAATACGCGCGGATTCGAAGAGGTCTACTCTAGACGCGCCGTTAAGGGTGAGTTCTCCTTTCGACCACGCAACTGCCACCCTCGGGCCTTTCTCAGAGGAACGTCGGACTCGTTCTTGAGGTCTGATGAAATTTTTTTTTTTTTTTGGTTTTTTACTGGTGTTCTAGCATTGTGTCTTCGTAATTTTCTTTTCTTGGGTGCTTTCCTTTTTCTTGGGATTCTGGTGATTTGGTCTCATACCTTGGTACTTGTACATTGAAATTGAATTATAATAAATAACGCATGCTACATAATTTTCATTTTCTTGTTCCCAAAATTACTGGATTTTTTTTTTTCTTGGGATTTTGGAATTTGCTCTGATACCTTGGCACTTGTACACTGAAATTCTATTGAAGGATGCAGGATTAGGATTTAACAATATTTATATTGTTACGTTAGTTAATTGTCATTTTCTTGTAACCAAGATTATTGGATATTTAATTTTTCTTTGATTGACAATTTTCCTTTTTCCTTCAATTTTAATTTCACTATTCATCTGGGGATCTCCTTAACTAGCTGAATTTTTTTGTAACTATTAGATTGTTGCATATGAAATGAACGATTTTGCGAAGCAGTAAAGTTTTCAGAACTTTCTTCTTAAGTATGCTACTGAAAAGCCTAATTCTATAGGTACATCGATTTAAATTTTAACTTAGACAAAAATGGCAGGTTTCACTATTATTTGATCAAGATGAAATTCGAGTGATTCCAGATATTTCTAAGATTTCCACAATTTTCCACGCAGTACTATCAAATTTTCTATATTAACCACGTGAGACACAATCAAAAATTGCCGTACGGCAAAAGAATCTCTAAAGAAATTGGTCGCGGAGCCCTTTCCAACCAAGAGATCGCGCCTTCACCGTGGAAAATTCCTCGTGACACCGGTAACCCGTCCCGGTAAACCGGATAATTATGATCGATGGCGAGGAAGCTGGGCCTCGAAAGATTCCTCCGAGTCACGTACGCGCGTCTCCTCGATCCAACGACGCACCTTCTCAATCCCGGAGCGGCGTTCCCATATCACCGATGCAGAAATTCAAATTCGTTGTCATTAATAAAAATTAAAGAGACATCAGACGAAAAGTGAGCGAGAGAGAGATGACGCTTTTGCACCCCGAGGGCTAGCTAACCTTTATCTTACCTGAGCCACAATAGCGTGAGACTATGGGCCCTTTGTACTACACTTTCACCGTCATCTGCATACGCACCCCTCTCTCACCTGCAACCCTTGGATGCTTCTCTTTTTTTTTTCTCTTGCTCTGTTCGCGGCTAGAGACGTAATCTCCGTAAGAAGCGTCCCTCATGGGTGCTAATTTCTTTTTTCGCGTCGACCAACGATGCTTTCTTGGGATTCTTGGTCACGTCTGCGCGGCTAACGGTCCTCGAGGGCTCTTTGTTACGTTTTATACGCTTCTACTAATTGATCGTAACTGACGTGGTGCGGAATTTAAGGGACTGGCGAAGTTTGTCGGGAACTTGCGAAAAATTCTGTATCCTTTCCTACCAAAACCTGCCATATGAGAATTCTGTGAAATAAGTTGCACTGTTCCCCCCTTTTTCTTAGAGATATTTTCAAGTAGTAGAAGTTTGATTTTTCTACTCAAAAGTTGCTATCTGAGGAACTTGCAAAAAATTCTGTAAAATAAATTGCAAGTATTCCTCTTTTCTGGAGATATTTGCCAAGCAATAGAAGTTTGATTTTAAGTCCTCTAACTTTCCTATTTGTGGCACTTGCAAAAAGTTCAGCAGTCTTCTGGAACCTTCTTCAGTTTTTCTAACAAGCCTATCCTGTAAAACTTCACCAAAATAATTTGCAAGAGTTCCTCTCCTGTTTTTCTGGAAATATTTGCAAGCAACACAGGTCTGATTTCTAGTTCTCCAATTTTTCTCCTAAAAATTGCTATCTAAGGAACTTGCAAAAATTCTATATCCATTTTTAACGAACCTACCATACAAAAATTCCCTGAAATGGTTTGCAAGAGTTTCTCCTCCTTCCTAAAAATATTTGCAAATAGCAGAAGTCTGATTTCGAGTTCTCCGATAACCTGCAAACGTTTCAGACCTTCTCCAATTGGTCTAGCAAATCTACCGCATAGAAATTCGCCAAAATATTAACTTGCGACGATTCCAACGCACTCCACAAACTGTCACCTCGCATCCCCGAAAATTTCACACCTTCCAATTTCCCCATTACGCTCCCTCCGGGGAAACAGCCCCCCGCGGACATTGTCACAGCCGTGTAGAGAGACAATGGACGAAGTCTGGTAGCGAGCAACCCCTTTCTGCCGCGACTGTGTCACAACATTTGGGCCCGGGACAGAGTTATGGCCCTTTTTCCATCGTCTTCTCGTACTTCGACGCTCACCACGCGTCCGTCCAGGCGTAACGATTCCCTTCGCTTCTCTCTCTCCCGTCTCTCCACGCTTCTGCAGCGCGGAGAGACGCGAACCTACGACGGTGTGCAGGAGGCTGTGTTTCCACCTCGGCGAACTTGGATTCGCGCGACTACTTTCGCCCTCGAGGAACAAGCCCTCTTTTGAAGAAGGAACAGTTGAATCCGATGGAATTGCCTCCTTCTCGTTTTAACATGCAGTTATTTCAATTTTATCCCAATGCTCCCGTGCCGCGCCCTTTTCGAATTTCTCCAAGCAAGTCGAACGTGTGCAGTAACGTTTGCTTTTTACGTAGCTTAGAGTGTTTCAGAATTTGGGGGATTTTTATTTAGCAGTAGACGCACGAAGGAGATACAGAATTTTCAAAGCTCTAACGTGAAACGAGAGCTATTATTATGCGTTCCAACAAAAGGTAGAATTATACCGTAAATTAAATCAGCCGTCCCTCGTAACACGTCGCATGCTATATATTCCAACGAGGTAGAAAAAAAATGAAACGGAAACAGCAGTGTAACAATAATAAAGAATTCCCTCGATGAAACCCTCTGACAAAAGTTAACATCGCGACACCGAGTAAGGAGAGAGAGAAAAAAAAAACGCCATGAAACCAGACCAACCGTCGACTGCTTTCCATTCGTTGCTTTGGGAAAAAAAATTGATGAAAAAAACGGGAAAAAAAATGGTGCATAGTAGGTACCCCTTTCGTGAGCTGATACGTTACGCGGAAAT